GGGCCGGACTCAGGGAACTCTGTGTTCATCAAGAACTGCAAGAAGCCCCTATCACGAGCTTTTTCCATCCTATGGAGAGGGAGCATGGACACGGGGGTCGTCCCACAGTGTCAAGGCTTACTCAGCCCTGTAACAACTTCAGACAGTATTACCAAGGCTGGCTCCTCCTCAGGAAAATTAGTGAATAGAAAAAGAAATAATAACAGACAAACATAAACACTTTATTATATAGAAAATATAAAACACTTAAATATGATATATTAATCCTATATTAAAGAAAATGAAAAATGAAAAATATAAATGATAACCCACCAGGTTCGTTCTTCACAGTATAGCCTTGAGTATTCTATCCCGATGACAGGAAAGCAGGTTCTTTACTGCTGCAATGATGAGGGGTTACGTCCTGCAATTTCATACAGGTGCACAGGTAATTAAATCCAAAAAGGGGAAGTCTCAGGACGTTAGTCCATCTCCACCAGTTCTGCTCGTTGATTGGCAGGTGACCCTCTCTGTCATCCAAGCTGGAAAGATAGACAGGTTACCCACTGCTTAAGAAATCACTCTCCATGATAAGTACAATACCAAAAAGATGTGGTGATTATTACAACAGTAAACCCTAGAGCAAGACTGAAGGACTAAGTTTATATTGGTCAAAAGTGAAGTTTTTCAACCAAAAAATCCACTAGAATACAAGGCAGGCATGTACTTACAGTAGTGCTGGGAGCTGTGAGTCTAGTGATTACTGTTTGGACCGGAGCCCCACACGTCACCTTTCGGGGGGGGGGGAAGAAGGAGGGGAAGGGATAGCAGGAGCTAGACTGACCCTACCTTAACAAGCAGCCGGCAGTCAAACTATCACTTTCGGGGTGGGGGAAAAAAGGCGGGAATAGCGGGAGCTTGACTTACCCTACCTTAACAAGTAGCCGCAATGAAACTACTGTTTTACTTTCGGGAGGGAAAAAAAAGGCGGGAATAGCGGGAGCTTGACTTACCCTACCTTAACAAGTAGCCGGCAATGAAACTATTGTTACTAAAATCTCCCTCTACTCCTATCTTTTGAACTTTTCCCTCACACACAGTTACTAAAAACAAGACATAGCCCCACTCCAAAAAAGGGGGCAGTAAAGCAACAGCAAAGAACTACAGACCGATAGCACTAACATCCCATATCATAAAAATCTTTGAAAGGGTCCTAAGAAGCAAGATCACCACCCATCTAGAAACCCACAGTTACACAACCCAGGGCAACATGGTTTAGAACAGGTCGCTCCTGTCTGTCTCAACTATTGGATCACTAAGACAAGGTCCTAGATGCACTAGCAGATGTAATATATACAGACTTTGCAAAAGCCTTCAACAAGTGTGACCATTGGCGTAATAGCGCACAAAATGCGTGCTAAAGGAATAACAGGAAAATTCGGCCCGATGGATCTATAATTTCCTCACTAACAGAACACAGAGAGTAGTAGTCAACAGAGTAAAGTCCGGCAGCTAGGGTGAAAAGCTCTGTTCCACAAGGCACGTACTCACTCCCATCTTGTTCCTCATCCTCATATCTGACATAGACAAGGATGTCAGCCACAGCACCGTGTCTTCCTTTGCAGATGACACCCGAATTGCATGACAGTGTCTGCAATGGAAGACACTGCAAGGCTCCAGGCGGACATCAACAAATCTTTCAGTGGGGTGCAGAAAACAATATGAAGTTCAACGATGAGAAAATTCAATTACTCAGATATGGTAAAACACGAGGAAATTAAATCTTCATCAGAGTACAAAACAAATTCTGGCCACAAAATAGAGCGAAACACCAACGTCAAAGACCTGGGAGTGATCATGTCGGAGGATCTCACCTTCAAGGACCATAACATTGTATCAATCGCATCTGCTAGAAAAATTTACAGGATGGATAATGAGAACCTTCAAAAATAGGGAGGCTAAGCCCATGATGACACTCTTTAGGTCACTTGTTCTATCTAGGCTGGAATATTGCTGCACATTAACAGCACCTTTCAAGGCAGGTGAAATTGCTGCCTAGAAAATGTACAGAGAACCTTCACGGCGCCATAACGGAGATAAAACACCTCAATTACTGGGGGCGCTTGAGGTTCCTAAACCTGTATTCCCTGGAACGCAGGGGGGAGAGATACATGATTATATACACCTGGAAAATCCTAGAGGGGCTAGTACCCAACTTGCACACGAAAATCACTCACTACGAAAGCAAAAGACTTGGCAGGCGATGCCCAAAATCCCCCCAATGAAAAGCAGGGGGGTCACTAGCACGTTAAGAGACCATACAATAAGTGTCAGGGGGCCCCAGACTGTTCAACTGCCCTCCCCGCAACATAAGGGGATTACCACAGACCCTGGCAGTCTTCAAGCTGGCACTGGACAAGCACCTAAAGTCGGTTCCGACCAGCCGGGCTGTGGCTCGTACGTTGGTTTGCGTGCAGCCAGCAGTAACAGCATGGTTGATCAGGCTCTGAAACCACCAGGAGGCCTGGTCACAGACCGGGCCGCGGGGCGTTGACCCCCGGAACTCTCTCCAGGTAAACTCCAGGTAAGTACTATATGAAAATAGACCACAAAGTCGGGAATTTTAATTAAAAAAAAAAAAAAGGTCCGGAGTTTTTTTTTTTTTTCATTATGCACTGCATGCTCCATGATTTTTTTTTATGTGGTGCACACTGACCACACAGACCCCTTCTCTCACATGTGGGCCTACCAGGTTTCTCCTTCTTGATTTGAAGCCGCTAGAATTTATGAGTATATATACGTCAAACACGGTATCTCGTAAGACGTATATAAAACAGCCACGACAGTCAAAGGGTTAACATTACTGTAATAAATAAAATAAATTTCAAGAATGAGAAAAAGATCATCAGGAACCTAAGCTCTAGAAAAGATTGTGCTTTAAATCAAAAGTTGAAATCATGAATAGACTCCTGATTTTTAACAGACACTGACAACTTGTTGAACAATCTAGGAGTTACTTTAACAAAAAAAAAGGCTCTTTCTGCAAATGGCTTCTCCCCACCTGCATGAGATTTCATCCTAAAAAGGTCTGCATCAATTTGCAGAAACATTCCCAAACCTGATTCAAGTGGTACAAGCATATCAGGTAGTTTTTTTTTTTTCAACACACTGGCCATATCCCACCAAAGGGTAGGGTGATCTAAAATGAAAAATGAAAGTTTTTCTTTTTTAAATTTAGTAGTAGGCAGATATTTGAGTACAATAAACTTAATAACTTTAAATGTTTATTAACATTTAAAGTTCTTCTTCTTTCAACAAACCGCCGTGTCCCACCGAGGCGGGGTGGGCCCAAAAGAAAAGCAAAAGTTTCTCTTTTTAAATTTAGAAAATTTATACGGGAGAAGAGGCTACTACCCCTTGCTCCTGGTACTTTAGTTGCCTCTTACAACACGCATGGCTTACAGAGGAAGAATTCTTTTCCCACTTTCCCATGAAGAAAGAGGAAATAAACAAGAACAAGAACTAGAAAGAAAATAGCAAAAAAACCCAGAGGGGTGCATATATATATGCTTGTACATGTATGTTTGGAGGGATATGTTGTGTATCTTTATATGTATATGCTTCTAAACTGTGTATTCTGAGCACCTCTGCAAAAACAGTGATAATGTGTGAGTGTGGTGAAAGTGTTGAATGATGATGAAAGTATTTTCTTTTTTGGGGATTTCTTTCTTTTTTGGGTCACCCTGCCTCGGTGGGAGACGGCCAACTTGTTGAAAAAAAAAAAAAAAAACCTGTATGTGTAGTGTGACCTAAGTGTAAGTAGAAGTACAAGACGTACCTGAAATCTTGCATTTTTTATGAGACAAAAAAAAAGGACACCAGCAATCCTACAATCATGTAAAACAATTACAGGCTTTTTTTTTTACACTCATTTGGCAGGACAGTAGTAACTCCCTGGGTGGTTGCTGTCTACCAACCTACTACCTAGAACATTAAAGCTATAGACACAAAATTCCCTGTGGAGAGGAATACAAAGATGCCATTTTCCTTCAAATTTATTGAATGTAATATTCCTGCAGGCTTAATAATTTAGCATGTAGAAATACAATGATAAGGAGTACTGTACAAACAAATCACATCCCAATGAAGTTCAAACACATAGAGATTATTTACTTTATGCAGGTTTGATAAAAGCAGTTGCCCATCTAGAGAAACACTTGTAAACCAAGATAAACTTTTGTCTCATAAAAAGATAAAATGTAGTTGGAAACTATATCATTCACTTCTCAATAATAAAAACAAATCAATGAAATTATTTTTAATTTTTTAGAAAGAAGCTATTCTACAAGATAATTTTATCAATAAAACTCATTCTGATAAGCTGGCAAACATGTTAGATCCATTACAAAGTAACAGGACAAATCTTAGTCCGCAACTTATGAAAGGAAGACAAGATGGAGTTACCTGGGACACCTTTAATCTTAATCCAAAACTATTAAAAAAAAAAAAAAAGGTATCTAAATACAATATTCAATAATAAAAATATATCCTGTATTGTACTAAATATGGATTAACAGCTACAGGAGCAATTTATGCTTCATTACTATAAAAAATTAAAACTAAATTAGTATTATCATGACTGAGGAGGCTGTGGCATGCCTTGCTGTTTCTGGAGTTGATGTTGCTGTAACAGTTGTATGTGCTTACTTTTGATAGCTTCTAATTCATTGACACGAGTTCTTGCATGATCCAAGCGGTGCATCGCCATTTGTAAGGTCTTCTGTGAGTTGTAACTGGATCCTTCATGTGCTTGTCCTGTTTACCAGTTGTTTATTACAACACATTGTTTTAAACTATATCGTCAAAGTTCTAAATTACCTATCTTAAAATTTTAAGAGCCTACAGCTTGCTGGTCGTCTAATTATTTTGGCATACTAGATCACACATATATTAGTAAAAGATAAAACTATTATTACAAATACTGAAGCAGGGAGCGAGGTTATTAAAGTATTTTCCAGAGGGCTGAGGGGGGGAAAATTGAGGTGGTTTGGAAAATTCGAGAGGATGGAGCAAAATAGGAAGACTTGGAGGGTTATAAATCTGTAGTAGAGGGAAGAAGCAGGGATCGTCCTAGGAAAAAGGGTGGAAGGGAAAAGATAAAGGGTTTTTTTATGCAAGGAGCTTGGACATCCAACAGACATGTGTAAGCATGTTATATAGGAGTGATCAAAATCAAATGATTTTTATGGCTTAAATTGCTGTTGGGGTGTGAGTAAGGTAACGTTATGAAAGGATTCGGAAAATGGTTAACCTCACTTGAGTCTTGGAGGTGGAAAGTATATTGCCTGCATTCTGAAGGAGGGGTGGGGATATGGCATTTGGGGGGGCATTTGAGCTGCAGTGACAGCCCCACCTCTGCAAAACAGTGATGGTGAAAGTTTTTCCTCTTTTTAGGTCACCCTACCTCAATGGGAGATGACCAGTACATTAAAAAAAAAATAATTTACCCACTAAGAAGGATGATGGGGCCAAGGCAGGTATGCCAAGAAATGTTTTAAGATGGCTTGCAGTAAAGAATGACCTTTACATACTTGTAAGGCATCCTAGGCTCTTGAACCTTTACATATTTGTAGTATGTCATAGACCCTCTAAAAATTTCTCATTTACATCAATAACCTACCTAATTTCCCTCCCAGGAACTTTAACCAGTTCTGTTTGTAGATGATACTAATTTTGTCTTCCCCTAATCCAGATCTAGGTGTACAGAATTTGAATTGAATTGCCTCTACTTACTCCTATCTAAAACATTCACACATGCCTCCTGGATGTCCAAATCCCTTGCATGCAAAACCTCCTGTCAATTACCTTTTCCCCTCCAACTTTTTTCCTAGGATGACCCCATCTTCCCTCCACCACTACAGATTTAATACACCAAGTCATCTTATTTTCTCCGTCCTCTCTAAATGTCTAAACCATCACAATAACCCCTCCTCAGCCCTCTGGTTAATACTTTTAGTAACCTTGCACCTCCTTCTGATCTCCAAACTACAAAGTCTCTGTATAATATTCACACCACACATTGCCCTCAGATGTGACATCTCCACTGCCTCCAGCCTCCTCCTTGCCGCAACATTTACAATCAATGCTTTGCACCCATATAAGGGTACATGTATTGGTATCACTATACTCTATTACATTTCCATTTTGGCCTCCATGGATAATAGTGTCTCCACATATGCCTCAATGCACCGCCCATCTTTTTACATTCCTCAATTCTATGCTTCACCTTATTCACAAACCCAGCCGATGACAGGTCCACTCCCAAATTTCTGAATACATTCACTTCCTCCCTACTCTTTTTTCCAATCTAATAACCAGTCTTTCATTACCAAAATTTTTTGTTAATCTCATCACCTTGCTCTTTTCTATGTTAACTTTTAAATCCCTTCTTTTACATGCCCTCCCAAATTTGTCCACCAACCTTTGCAAAGGCTATCATATACAGCAATTAAAACCCTTATCAGGACATTGTCCTTACAAATATCCCTATGTGTATAGTATTAGACTTAACATTCAAATGATCTAACCTCAACTATACAATGTCAAGTCCTGTGCCAGGGGCTTTTCAAAACGTATGAAATAAATTTCACTTATTTTGTAACAACTATATATCCATTTTGAAAATAAATTTAGTTTTTTTGTATGACTGCAAGGATTTGGCACTAATCTGCATACGTATATCACAGCAATAAGAGTACATACCTGTAGATACCTGTGTAAGGTAGTTAATTTGCTTGGCCAACTCTGTTTCTACATTGGTGAGTGTCTGACGAAACTGATTCACATGAGCTTCAACCTGCTTATTGGCTGGTTTATCCTTGCTCAATTCTGTCAAGGCCTGACCTAAAATACAATAGACTTAATGAACATAAATACTGTACTAACAATTATAAAGAAGAAAAATAAGCAAAAAAAAAAAAAAAAAAAATAAGAAAAAAGATGATAACTGATAATTTTATTTTTATTATTAATCTGGACAACTAGTAACCAAGCAGAAAACACTGTACCATGGATACTCTGGATAAAACCTATTTACAGTACAATATTGCTTAGTCAAAGCACTACCCATTTTTAGTCAATATATACTAGTACATAATAAATTCCCCCCACTTGAAAATTAACTAATACATGGTAAGGAAAGTCTGGAATTCCAACTCATGTAAAAGTATCATTATATTTTAGGATAAACTACTCTGTTCATCTTTACTTTCTAAATGGGGGGAAAAGCCCAGCTGGGGTAGGCCAGCAGATGCCTAACCATTATATGGGTCAACTGATTAAGATGTCAGAATATACCCTAAAGCTTCCAATGATGAAGCAGCAGCCTTAAAATGACAACAATAACCAACAGCAATTCATTGTACTCTGATAAACAAGTAAAAAATATTCTTCTCTCCTGCTCAATATTTATTCATGATGTAGATCTCATTGTGGGTTATATCATAAGAGATATTTATGTTAGAAATATTTATTAAGTTTCAGCACTATTAACTCTTCCAAATACTTAAAGAAAAACAAAAATAATTACATTTTTAATAGACAGTAACATAGATGTGTTTAGAAAAATTCTACATACTGCAATTATTATAATTATGGAGGGTGCTAAACCTGTAGGGATTATACAGCACCTGTGGGGGGGAAGAAGGATGGTATTCAGACTTAATTCAGGGAACTGTATATACTGCAAATAAGTATCTATAAAATTTACATCCCTTTAAAATACAATACTGGGAGAATGTTATAAGGTGTCTCATAGACTGATTGGTAGCGCAGTCACCTCATGCTGAGGTCTGGGGACTGATTACCTCATTAATATTATTATAATCAAGGGGAAGCGCTAAAAACCCCTAGGATTTTAACGCTTGGGGGGGGGGTGTGGAAAAAAAATTTAGGGTTAAATTTGGGGGAAATGGACCACAGACCAATTCCCTAAAAAAAGAGCCCC